CCCCTCTCTTCGGACTTCGGATAATCCTATAATATGCCAGCGTAACTTGTCTATCTCTTCTTCCAGCTCCACGATCTTCTCGTCAGTCCTCAGGGTGCGTGCGTCGTATGTTGCCAGGTCGAGTAGTCTTAGGTGGCAACCGAACCTCCACCGGAGATTCTTAGCACCCCCTGCCCCGCCGTTACCATGATCGCCACCGTAGCCAGGAATAGCGGGACCGCCGGGGACTGGGGGCCGTTTCTTTGTTACTCTCGTCGTATTTGCCATAGTTGCCACGCTTGGCGAGCGGGTTGGCAACCGCAGTTTTTTTATTGTTTGTTGTTATCAGGAAGATGCTGCTGCCCATCTCCTGCCTGTTTCCCTTTGTCGCCTTTTACGACACCCACGGGAAGATATGGGGTAGTGGATATTCTTAACCGTCACTACACGACACGGAAAATTTGTGTATCGTTATTTTAAGATATCGCTACAGGTCGGGGGAAAAGTTTCTTCGTATTTTATAAACAAATTCAAGATATTTTTTTCAAAGTTTAATTACATTTCATAATATTATATAACTATCTGTTCTCCGCGACTTCGCCCGCGTGTTATTTGGGGTTATAATATTTTTGCGCGGAACCCTAATTCTTTTTTTATAATTTATAATTAAAAATTTTGTACAGCCGACTTCAATATAAGTTATTAAGAATAACTCAAATAACTCAAAAGCTATTAGTCTGACCTTGATCAAATTCATATGGGACCACACGAGAAGTATCAGCTATCATATAAAAAAAGAATCATCGAAATCGGTCCACCCAGTAAAAAGTTATGAGGTAACACACATAAAAAAAACATACGCGTCGAATTGAGTACCGTCTCCTTTTTGGAAGTCGGCAGAAAATTTAAGTAGCTTAAGTTACTCCTTGTGATATCAGCTATCTGCCAGTGAAAATCCCGTCAAAATCGGTCCAGCCGTTTCGGAGATTAGCCTGAACAACAGACAGACAGACGGACAGACAAAAACTTTAAAGATTATATTTTTATTATTAGTACCGTATATACTTTCATATCCATTTAGTAAAAAGCTGTAATTTAGACATTACAAACAGACAGTTCAATTTTATTTATTTGTATATGGATGTGCCATTTTGTTCAATAATTTGTTGCCATCTTGTAGGTAGTGACATAATCCCGTTACTGTAGAAATATTGGGATTTTTCATCAAAAAATGCGACAAGTAGTTTTAACAGTCCTCTCTTGATGTTAACCTTACACTACACAAAGAATTCTGGCGACTGAAACAGGTGAAAATCTGAGGGTGCAAGGTCAGGACTATATGGTGGATGCATTAAAACTTCCCAACCAAGCTCTCCCAATGTTCTCTGAGTGGCCAAATATGTGTGTGATCTGGCGTTATCATGATGAAAGACCAATCCTTTTTTGTTGATAAATTTTGGGCGTTTTTTCTCAATTTCTTGTTTTAGTCTCATTAGTTGTTGGCAGTAGAGATCCGAGTCGATGGTTTTGCCCGGCGGTAAAAGCTCATAATAAACGATGCTCTTCCAAACCCACCATACACACAGCATCATGTTATTGCGTGTTAATCCGAGTTTCGTTACAGTCTGTGGAACTTGACTAACCTTTGACCATGATCTTTTTCGTACGTTCTTATCGTAGGTGATCGTCTTATCATCACGAGTGATCAATCTTTTCAAAAATGGTTCGATTTCATTACGTTCCAATAGAGAATCGCAAATGAGTACACGATTCATTAGGTTTCTTTCAGTGAGGTTTAAAAATATCGACCTTTTTATAAAAATTAAGAATTAAAATTACAGTCTTTAAACGTCCCACTGCTGGGCACAGGCCTCCTCTCATTTGTGAGAGGGTTTCTAGAGCAAGTAAGTGTCTGCCGCGCTGCCACAATGCGTGCTGGCCAACTGCACATGTCTTCGAAATATTTGTTTTCTTATTTCTCATAGGCGTAGGTTTCCTCACGATGTTTTCTTCTGTATTAATTTTAAAGCTGTATTCATTTTAAGGCTGCTGATACCAAATACTAGGTAGAATTAAGCACGAAATCACGTTTATTAATATTTCAAGTATCTTTTCCTCCGTTAGACTTCTTATACTATTATTTATTCTGTGTAGCCATAAATACTTGAATAAAACAACAAATTATATGAAATAGTATATTTTATACCAAAAATACAAAAATTAATAAATCAGCATTTATTAAATATCTATTAAGACATTTTAATTCTTGCATAATGCTATAATCACGTAGAGTATCAAAATCATATATATATATATATATATATATATATATATATATATATATCGCACACATTCTGTCATTATTATCTCTTAAATTCAAAATACGTGGTGGTCTTTCATTCATAAATATCTCACGTTTATTATTTTATGCACGCACATATTCGCAAGGGTACCATTTTGTAGCGCATCTCCCCCGCTCTTTTTTTTATTTACCGTTACATCGCTAAATACTTGCGTCCGCCCGCCCAGCCAAGTCAAAGCCCCCAGCTGACAGAGTTGACCGTGAACTCATTACGTACGCTTTGTTACCAATGACGTAACAAAAATATTCGCAATTTAAGTATAACTTAGTTACATAGTTTTTGGAAAGGATTACAACATAGCATCATTGAAAAAAGACCATAAAGTATGTATAATGGAGAAGACGTATAAACAAATATCTAGCAGAGTTGTCAAAATCAACACCATGCTTGAAATAATATTTACTTATTTTGATTCAAAGAGATGTAAAAATAATTGTATATAATAAGAACTAAAAATTACAAATTAACAAAAAATTATTACAATTTATTGTAAATACTATAATAAAATTTAATGCAGGTATTGATAAAATATGGCGTTAATGATACCTGCTGCAATACTCCAACGGTAACATTTTAACTTACCTATATTGATTTGTTAATAAGAATAATATGATTTGTCAATAATGTCGGTAATCTAAAATAACCTGAATTTGAGGTAGTCTATTCATCATTTTACATACCCTCAGAGAAAGACAAAAACTATAAGTAAAATTACCACAAAAATTTAAAGAACATATTGTTACAAAAAGCGAGTTCACTTCCAACTTCCTAAACTCGTTTAATACGCCCATAATATCATATACATATTTAGTAACTATTAAGATAACTGCACAAAGTACAAAATATCATATAATACGACATTTGGCTAATATTTAACCTAAGCATATTGAAACTTTATCTAATGCAGAAATAGGAACAAGGTTATTCAGAATAACAAGGTATAATTAATAATACTCACAATTTATCATTAGTTCACTTACTCTCTACTGAACAGTTCTAAAAAGACAGACTCCTAGATTATTATATATATTATACGGATAGACTCACAAACCGACATCATCTGTTGTGTGTCCAACAATTTACCTCTGCTTGAACTACAGATGGCGTTGCTGGCATGGTTTCCTTTAGCTCCAATAAAATTGGATATTATTACGAAAGCAAAATACATTATAAAATACAATATATATGTTTTAAGTAAAATAGATTTTGATACAGTGTTAAGTTTTAATTATAAATAATATAAACAAAAATAAATGGCTCAACTGACCCTAAAATATTTATGTACCTACACGCTGACTCAATTACAAAATAATTAATTACCCACAATTTTAGTTTTGTATATATAAATTTACAGTATGCTAGCACTATCGTATTAATTATTTTTACAATTTCGTCAGAAATGGTAAGCGTGTACGACAGGCATCATGCAATACAATGCCCATAAACAACAATATACCTGACAAAAACACAAACTTAACTAAAAAAAAGGATAACAATTTTCATATAATCATACTGTTTTAAGCCACTGTATTACTTAAAGGCACTATATTTATTTTCAACAGCACTTATACTAATAGCTTTACGTAACGTTGTTTACGTATTATAAATCAATAGAAATAAACACCATGGGCACAGAGTAAAGAATCGGTTTCTTTACTCATGTGCTATGGGCTTTACATATTATTTTTTAATAAATTTATCTTTAGCACGCCCATTTAGATTAAGTTGTAACTTAATAACATTTATGTAGTTTTTTTTTATAGAATAATGGTGACAAACGACCAAGTCCACCTGATGGTAAGTGGTTGCTGTGGCCCATAGACATCTACATCTATCCTCGATTACGAATCATAATGCAGATGAGTTGTCACCCGTGAGGACTAAGATGCAATGCCTCGTTTTCCATTAAAAAGGGGTCTCCGGTTCTGTACACTCACCATACGAACCACAGCAGCGTTAAGCTGCTATTTTACGATGGTATTCTGTGAGTAGTTCCGTCCCATTAAATTAAAAACTGCTAAAACTAGACTTGCAACGAATATTCGACTATTTTTCGGTATTCGGCCTATTCGGATAGATACTATTCGGCCGAATACCGAATACTTAAATAAGAGGTTTTATTGTAGTCAGATAATTAGTAAAATTTTTTTTTCTTGTAATCATTAAGGTACATAATCAACTTCCATATTATAAAAATTGAAAAAGAACTATCAGATAAATGTCTATGCACTCGAGTATTTAATGTGGAAGATAGAAGACGGTGCAGAAAGACTAATTTTTCTTCATTTTCAGACAGAAACTTTTGCCTATTATTCGACTATTTGGCCAGGAAGTCCGCAGAATATTCGGTATTCGGCGTGTGACCGAACATACTATTTGTTGGAAGAATTAAAACGTCAATGGCATGAGAATCATAGAAACCTCTTAATTTTTCGTAATAATTTTTGAAAAAAAATCTAGCATAAAATTTCTTTTCAAAATTTCAAGTCAATAAATGTCATACTAAACTAGGTGGCTTTATTCAATAAAATATATTGTGTCAGTTAAAGTAAATTTTCGTCTTCATCTTAAATCTTTCTTTTCTTTAAATTATGAAAGTTCACTTACAAACTCATAATTTTTTAACATTTTATGTTAAAGAAAACTATGCTTTCTTATCTACGATATTTTGTTTTCCTCGTCATTCTCTCTACGCAAGGCTGTTAACTCAGTCTCCACTTCCAATTCAGATTTCTTTATTTCATCGGCATGGCGTTCGTTGTAGGCATCGCCTTGTAACATTATCTTTATTTCATGTAAACTTTTACCTCTTGTTTCTGGTACTAAGAAATAAGAAAATGTGGCCCCACCAAACGTCACTAAGGCGAAAATCCAGAAAACGCCGCTTAACCCAAGTAAATCTTTTATAACTTGGTATCCCCTTCCAACTACGAATCCCATTATTCCTCCAAGAATATTCAACGAGGTCATTGCAACGGCTTTGACATTTAAAGGGAAAATCTCCGCAGGGATAATGCCTACAATAGAATTAAAACCTAGATTTGAAATTATTGCTGAAAGAATGATCCCAATGAATGTGAGAATACCGTAAGGGCTGAGAGAGTTGTGGTCAATTTGAACGACGTCTAGCAAGAAGAAATAGCTGCCGACGACTGCGAAAGAAATTCCAGTGCCGAAGAAAGAGTAAATCAACAGCGGCCGACGTCCCACTCTGTCCACTAGTAACGAAGATATAAAAGCTGAAAATAAATTGATTTATAAGTTATTACTTTTATTACTAAATTTATGTACAATTAGCATTGTAACAGAATACTTCCACGGCTTACTTAAATAAATACAATGTACATAAGCATTTTTAAAAATCTGCCTGCGACTTGCTATGCACCTCTCCCAAGCTGACACAATTTCGCATAATCACCACTCTTGGCAATTGGATTGGCAATTGAGCAGAATCATTTACACGCCTCTAAACTATAACGTTCATGTAATTCCGCCGAACATCAGCGAGTTTAAATCTCAACGTACTGGACAGATCAGGGACTGATCTGAAGATTGTTTAGATATGGACTAATTTTAAATTACCGCGCGTTTTGGACTGTCATTTAATAAACTTCAAATGATTTACTGTATTTCAAATTATTATTACCTACTAATTATTCTTATTTCGTGGCCTACGAATTATTTCCAAGAAATAAGAATTATTAGGAAGCGGTAAGAGATTTTAAGCAATGGAATTTACTGATTATGATATGCTACTTATTATGTTTTTTTTTTTTTATAGGATAGGGTGACAAACGATCACACAGTCCACCTGATGGTAAGTAGTTACTGTGACCCATAGACATCTACATCTATTCTCAATAAAGACTCAAAATGTAGATGCGTTGTCACCCGTGAGGACTAAGATGGAATGCCTCTTGTCCAGTAAAAAGGGTCTCCGGTTCTCTACACTCACCATACGAAATACAGCAGCGTTAAGCAGCTATTTTACGCTATTATTCTGTGAGAGCGTGTTCCTTCCCCGGTCGAGCCGACCCATTCGTGCTACAACTATACTACTAATATAGCTGCAGCATGGCTCTACCACGTGGCAAAGCTTATAAGTCTTACAAGAGTACCGAATGGAATTCGGTAGTCTCCACTGATTTATATAATGACTTAAGTTTACGCGAACACTATACATTTAAATAAAACTAGTTTTTTACGAATCTGTAAAAACAAGTATTATATAAAAATCGGTAGTTTCCGCCTACCCCTCTGAGTGGCAGGCGTGAGTTTATGTTTATGTCTTACATGCGTCAAAAATTTACGCTATCTCGTCGCCAACCTATGTTTAATTTTAGATGTAATGGTCAGAAAAGAATGGATGTAATCTAAAATGTAATTACGGTAATTATTTATTTTATACTAAAATATCTTTTGACGTTTAATATTTCCATCATCTTGTATAATATGATAAAAGAGGGATTTCTTCGTAGGAATTTAAAAAAAATAAGATTTAGATTTAATATTTTAGTTGTCGCAATGAGGTAGTTAATTTATTAGTTTACAAGTTGTGTATTAAGTAATAATGTATTATATGCAAAATATGAAATATGTATCAAATAATAATATTAAAACACCGTGAGTCCATAGACATCCTATCGACACCTTTTAATTTTGTTACTGTACAAGTAACGATATGAAAAATAGATTATGTGTTACGGTTTACTCGGGGATGCAATTAAACAATGTTGATACTGCCTGTTTAGTTAGCATTATTATAATTAAAATTTATACAAACCGACGCCAAACTTGACAGATCCGTACACAATTGAAATTGTTGCAGGTGCCATACTAAATCTGCTCTCCTGCACTATCACTATCAAGTACTGCTGTATCGCCATTCCACCGGTCAGAATCTGCGATACTTTCAAACCTTAAAGAAAATTTTCTATTAATAAAAGGGTAGTTGACAATCATATTCATGAAATACTTTTTGCGAGCTATCAAAACAAAAACTTATAATAGGAATCTTATACAAATCAAACCAGACAAATGACGTCATAGTTTTTTCACAGAATCCAGATAACAAAGGAGCACACAATCCACCTGGTCTATCCTCGTTTAAGAATAGAAATGCAGATGCGTTGTCACCCCTGAGTACTAAGATAGAATGCCTCGTTTCCAGTAAAAGGATCGCCGCTTTTCTGCATTCACCATACGAAACACAGTACAATTAAACTGCTATATTACGCTGGTATTCTGTGAGAGCGTGGTCCTTCACCGGCCGAGGCGACCCATTCGTGCGTGTCCATAATATAGCTGCAGCATGGCTCTACCACATACAAAAGTTTCCCAGTTTTATACAGATTAAAAGGAAATGTAAAAGAACAATCATAATTTTATACGAAAATCATATTAAACTATTTTAAAAAGAATGTTATTGAATATAATATTTTGCCTTTACTTCTGGTATGGGAAACTTCTGTCCTGGAAAGAACCACCAAGAAACCCTGACAGTTTTATTAGTAAAAATATAATATACACTACACATAAGTAGTTAATAGTTAAAGCCTTAATAGACGTAGTTAAAGTCGTGACGACTAAGCGCTAGCTGTAAATATCATTGTACATGAGCCACCCGACTTTGAACCCCGCCGGCACCAAAGTGACAATGTGAAAGTAATAATTAATTGAAAAATAAATATTTACCGGTGGGATGTCTTGATACAGCCACGTTGCAGCTATATTATAACTGCAACACGAATGGATCGGCTCGACCGGGGTAGGACTATGCTCTCACAGAATATCAACGTGAAACAACATAAAATAATGCTCTGTTTCGTATGGTGAGTGTAGAGAACCGGAGACCCTTGTTACTGGTTGCGAGACATTCCATCTTAGTCCTCAGGATTGACAACCCATCTGTATTTAGATTCTTATTTGAGGATAGATGTAGGTGTCTATGGTGCTATGGCTGTGGTCCATAAACAATCACATCTTTCATCTACATATTAAGAGTCCAACCGCAAACGCGTTGTCACTACTGAGAACTAAGACGAAATGCCTCATCACCAGTACAAAAGATCCACTGTTCTCATCACACACCATACTTGTCATTTTCCCGGTCGAACCTGCTCATTCGCGCTGTAGCCATAATACAGCTGCAGTGTGTCTCTACTACGTATAAACATAATTGTTATTATACGTATAAAAATAAACGTAATATTGTCACCCTAATTCTATAATAAAATATAAAGTCCGCTAACTCACACTTGAGCAGCGACGCAGTTTCGTTGCTTTAAAAAAGCCCTCTCAGAAATTACCCTGTGCAGAGGCCTGAGCCCAACAGTAGGATGTTATAGGCTATATATACTGTTGCGAGCCACGATTAATACATGGTACATGGCGACACTAGTTACCACTTACCACTAGCGCCCTCTAATACGAGTGCCAGAACTAGGAAAGTCAAGAACATTCTAGAAATTTCTATAGTAGAAGAATCTGGAAACTACCTGAGGCCTTATATAAGGCCGGTATAGACCGCGATCGGGTCAGTATTGAATTGGCGATACAAGCGAATACTTCAAAGTGATATAAATGCGCACTAAAGTGATCAGTAATACAATTTTGTTTTATTATTAGTGTGGTTTTAGGTTGTAATTTTAATGTTTGTGTTCTGTAATTAAAGTGTCAATTTTGGTAATTCAATCGGCAGTTTTTAATTGTCTCGAACCCCAATCTCGTAACAATACTAATATTTATAATCTATACATACCAGCAGCAATAATAAGAGCCCTTTTGTATTGTTTGCCAGTAAAAAGTTCCTTGGCTGAGCTGGAGCCGCGCATTTCGTTTCGGACGCAATTTTGCATTATTTGTAATTCTTCTTCCAACACCTGCAAGTTTGTTGAAAGTCCCTGCATCTTATTAATTCAACCGAATCATCATTGCTATCGTTATCATCAAAATAAAAACATATTGAATATAATATGTATAGAAAATATATTGGAATATCCATATATCCATAAAAAGATCCATCAGCTTTCGTTAATATCTCGAAAGCAATAAAAATTTTACCAATAATTTTAGTTGATAACTTTCTTGAGGCATTTGTAACCATTTTAACACACGCGCTTACAGACTGCAGACAGAACAGTAAGTAATGATCCCACATAAAATTTAATAGTGAAAAGGAGTTCAACAAACGACTTTCGGGGTTAATAAAAGAGATGAGATCTGAACGTTTGTACCGAACTGGTGGGCCCCTTTTCAAATTTATGTTTTTGGTGAGATATCATTCATTTTTGACAATAGTTTTATCCTACCTTTATTAACTCAAATAAATACGTGACCCTTTAACGTATTTTTTTTCTTGCGTTTACGCTTCACTGTTTTCGATTTTTAATTTAACACTCACTGTTCTGTTTCCAGACACAATAGTAAAACAATATGTGGTTCACGGGACAATGAACGTGTTAAGTTACAAGTTATTGGTGCGGTTAGTTTTAAGTACAGTTACTTGACTATCGGTGATTTGCAGTTTTCAGATTTTTTCCTTTGTATGCACCTAATGATCTACCTTGGTGCCAAATTTTAAGTTTCTAAGGAAGTGAAGTTGAAGTAACTTTGGTGTTTGATCAGTGAACCAGTGAGTGATAAAAATGGCACTTTTCAATCCTTAATAACTAATGAACTTAGATTTATTCATGAAATTTGATAATCGAGGTACTTATTTAAGAACTAAGAAATAGAATTACTAGCTTATAAAATAAATTAATAAAATTTTTTCAATGATAAAATATTAAAAGACAGGATATCGCGTCATGGCGGCTTTTCGACAGTAAGCCTCACTGGACAACATCACGACCAAGATATATAAAATTAACCTTTCTCTTTATGTATTCTTTTCTTCATGTATTAACTTTTCTTTATGTGTGCGCAACAGAGAATACTTTGCTACTATAAAAATCAGTCAAGTGTAAGATTTAATTAAATTATTAACAATTTTCTACAGGATGCATTTCGAAGAGTGTGCGCAGAAATTGCATAATTTAATTCCTCCCTCTTCCTTCCACCATCGGACAACCAGACGTTCGGCCATTTTCCACCCTTTCGTTATTGACTTACCACGCATTCGAACCAAATGGTTTGCTACATCGTTCGTGATGCGTACAGCAAAGGAATGGAATAAGTTGCCAGCATCTTTGTTTCCATCCGATTACGATGTGGGTGTCGTCAAGGCAAGAGTGAATAGGCTTTTGTTAAGTCAGTGCGCTTCACCATCTTAGACTACATCACCATTTCTCACCAGGTGCGATTATAGTAAAGCGTTGGCTTAGTATAATATAAAAAAAAATACAAATCGTTTAAAACAATTAATAGCTCCAGATTTATAAATCTACACATATTTCTCAATGTTCATGGTTTTTATCAGGTTCTACGTTAATATTCCTTTCTATTTTTTAATTTCAACATACTTTAGTATCTTTGTTCCTCAATCTGGAAAGTTCTTTCCTCGCGGCAGTCACTCGACCCTCTTTCAGATGGTAATAAGGCGACTCCGGTATCCACCAACAACCCGCGAGATAGATCAGTGGTAATGCCAATAGAGAATAATTCAGAACTTCATATGTTAGGAATGGTCCAATGCACATCACAAGTAAATTGCCGAAATTGAACATAAATCGAGTAACGACATTCAGAGATCCTCGCAACTCCTTATACGAAATTTCTACTAAATACATAGTTAGAACCTGAAAAGAAAAATGATGAAAATTAATTTTGTATAAATAAATAAGGTTGGTATTTAAACGACCGAATATAAATTCAAATTAAGGTTGTCAAAAAAAACTGATTATGGCGCACTGCAATACTAAATGGGGAAAAGACTGAAGGCGAACACAAATGTTGAAAACGGCGGCTTGAAAGTATGAATTAGAGTTACGAGTTATTCAGAACGATCGGTATTTTTTACAGGATAGGATGACAAACGAGCACACAGTCCACCTTATGGTAAGTGGTTGCTGTAACCCATAGACATCCACATCTATCCTCAATAAAGAATCAAAATGCAGATGTGTTGTCATCCGCGAAAACTAAGATGAAATGCCTCTTTTCTAGTAAAAAGGGTCTCCGGTTCTCTACACTCACTATACGAAACACAGCAGCGTTAAGCTACTATTTTACGTTGGTATTCTGTGAGAAGTGGTCCTTCCCCGGTCGAGCCGACCCATTCATGCTACAACTATACTACTAATATTGCTGCAGCATGGCTCTACCACGTAAAATACTCGTAGTATAATAATTCTTAAGCGAACAAATTTCATCGAGATGATATGAGCACAATCTAGTAATATAACTATCTTACTAGACTAATTTAGGAAAATAATTATAAGCATATGTTGACAGTCAAAACTACTTTTGACTTATACTTTTTGAATTTTTTAAATTAAAAAGTTAAATTTTTTCAATATTATATTTTATGTCATTATAATTTACGCGGCTTTGGGATGGCTGAAGGGCCACTCCAGCAGCACCTTAAACCTACTGTCACCCACTCAGTATTTTTTTCGCCCAATTTAGTATTTAATTCGGACACTTGGAATTTTAATTGCTAGCTATAACTTTACTGCTAGAATAACTGTGCCCCACTGTTAGTAGCTCATTTACGTATTTTTAGTCATTCATAATTATAACAGTGGTAGAGCTAAGCGGTAGGTTTTGCTGTCGCACGGATGGGCCAGCTCGAACCGGGGTGGTACCACGACCTCACAGAATACCAGCGTGAAGTAGAGGTTTACCTCTGCGTTGCGCTTGGCGAGTGCAGGTGGCCGGAGGCCCAATTCCCCCCCCCCCCCCCTCCATCAACATGGTAGTGGTATTAAATACAAGACTACCCCAGGAGGGTACCAGCACCCCTGGAGAATCCCTCGCTGAGCATCCACGACCAAACTACTTCACTCCTGAGCGTGGGTGCTCAGGCTGCCCCGCGTATTCTGGGGGGGGGGCAAAATTCCGCTCATGACTAATGCTGCTCGGGGCAAGCGGAGCATTACAACCAAGGCGACCCCTGTCACGCTATCCGTGAATTTTTGCAACATCAGGGGACTTCATTACAACCTTAACGCTGTCCATTACCATCTAGAGACGGCGAAGCCGGCCTTGCTCTTTTTAACCGAGACTCAGGTGTCCTCTCCGGCTGATACTTCATATCTCTCCTACCCGGGATACAAATTGGAACACTCCTTTGTGCCCCGGGCTGGAGTTTGTGTATACGTCAGAGAGGACATCTGTTTTCGACGCCTCGGCAGCCTTGAAGGTACGGACCTGTCCATCCTATGGCTGCGCGTAGACAGCGACGACCATCCCCGCGTCTACGGGTGCCTCTATAGGTCCCATAGCGGTAATGCCGACACAGACCGACTTATCGACCACGTCCAAATGGCTACAGACTCCGTGCTACAACAGGTCCCATCCGCAGAGATCGTGATACTCGGTGATTTCAACGCCCACCACGCTGAATGGCTTGGTTCTCGTTTAACCGATCATGCGGGTAGATCTGTGTACGACTTTGCTTTGGCATATCATCATCATCATCATTACAGCCCTTCACAAGTCCACTGCTGAACATAGGCCTCCCCCAAAGAATGCCACAAAGCACGGTCCTGAGCCACCTGCATCCATCGACTTCCTGCATATCTTACCAGGTCGTCACTCCATCTAGTGGGGGGACGCCCTACACTTCGCCTGCCGGTACGAGGCTGCCACTCGAGAACCTTTCTTCCCCATCGGTTGTCGGTTCTTCGAGCTATATGGCCGGCCCATTGCCACTTCAGCTTACTAATCCGTTGGGCTATGTCGGTCACTCTAGTTCTACTGCGGATATCCTCATTTCTGAGTTTATCACGCAGAGAAACTCCGAGCATAGCCCTCTCCATAGCTCGCTGAGCGACCTTGAGCTTCCTCATCCGGCCAGCAGAGAAGGACTACGTCTCAGTTCCGTATGTCATCACTGGCAACACGCACTGGGTGTACAGTCTCGTTTTCAAGTTTTGAGGTATACCTGACGAGAAGATGTGCCGTAATTTCCCGAACGCTGCCCAACCGAGTTGAATTCGTCGATTGACCTCTCGGTCGAAGTTGGACTTACCTAGTCGGACTATTTGTCCCAGGTAAACATACTCGTCAACAACTTCGAGCTTAGTGTTCCCAACAACTACCGGCATAGGTGTGACATGGACATTAAACATGATCTTTGTTTTGTCCATGTTCATCTTAAGACCTATCCGTTGGGAAACACTATTGAGGTCATTGAGCATAGTGCTTAGGTCCTCCAGCGATTCTGCCATAAGGACTATATCGTCGGCAAATCGAAGGTGAGTGATGTACTCGCCATTGATGTTGATACCGTATCCTTTCCAGTCCAGAAGCTTGAAAACATCTTCCAATGCAGCGGTAAAGAGTTTCGGGGATATGACGTCACCCTGTCTTACACCTCTCTGCAATTGGATAGGTTTCGTACTCTGGTTCTGTACTCGGATAGCCATCGTAGCCCTACTGTACAAGCACTTCAATACTTCGATATACCGACAGTCAACTTGGCATCGCTGAAGGGACTGCAGCACCGCCCAAATTTCGACGGAATCAAAGGCTTTCTCATAGTCCACATACGCCAGACATAGTGGCAAATTGTACTCCTCGGACTTCTGTACAATTTGCCGAAGGGTATGTATGTGGTCTATGGTGCTAAAGCCTTTTCGGAAACCGGCTTGTTCAGGAGGCTGGAAGTCGTCAAGTCTGCGCGCGAGACGATTCGTAATGACTCTCGAAAACAGCACGTAGACGCGGCTCAGAAGGGAAATCGGTCTGTAGTTCTTCAAGAGAGCGTTGTCGCCTTTCTTGAAGAACAAGACCACCGCACTTCTGCTCCACGCCTCCGGTGTAATGCCACCATGGAGGACGGAATTAAAGAGCTTCTGAAGGACTTCAAGTACCGGTTTTCCACCCGCTTTCAGAAGCTCCGCTGTAATTCCATCCTCGCCTGGGGCCTTGCCGTTTTTAAGGTGCTGGAGAGCCATTCTAATCTCGCTCAGACTGACGTCCGGGATATCATCGGAATAATGTCGGATAAGACTCGCTCTTGGATCGTTACTCACACTTGCGTGCGGCTCCAACGATGACGTGTACAGCTGCCCATAGAACCTCTCAATCTCACTCAAAATCTCAGGTGCCCCGGAAACGATGCTGCCACATTCTGTCTTCAGCTTTGACAGTTGGCGCTTTCTGGCAGACAGATCTCTGGCAAAGACTTTGGAGCCTTGGTTCCGCTCGATCGCTTCTTCAATACGAGCTGTATTGAAGTTGCGTAAGTCCCGCCGCATGCATTTGGAGATCTGTCTGTTCAGTTGCCTGTATGCTGTCAAATCTGTTGAAGAATGTAGCTTCATCTCCCGTCTAACAGCCATGAGATTAAGAGTGTGATCGGAGAGTTTTTGTGTTCTTCTGCGGCGGGTCTTGCAGAACTTAGCTCCAACCGCATGGACAGTTTCCACGAGCTTGTCATTCAAATCGTCCACTTCATTGCAGTCTTCTAGGCACTGAAAACGGTTTTGTAACTCGAGCTGAAAGGTTTCGGGACTTTGGATTAGAGCACGAGGGGGACGGAGCGTTGACTTCATTAGACGAGACCTCTCCAACTTAACGTTTAGGTTCAGTGTGCCTCTAACCATTCGGTGATCGCTGCCGGTTTTCACCCTCGCGATCACTGAGACATCACTGAACAGTTGTCGTCTGGTCGTCATAATGAAGTCAATCTCATTTTTTGTCGAACCGTCGGGGCTCGACCAGGTCCACTTCCTGTGGGGCCGCTTCTGGAAGAAAGAGTTCATCATAAAGAGTCCCTCTTTCTCCATGAAGTCAGCCAACTGCTGGCCTCTTGGGTTCCGTTGCCCTATTCCAAATTTCCCTACTTTCAGCTCACCGTTCTCTCTTGTGCCTAGTTTTGCATTGAAGTCTCCCATTAACACCGTATATTGGGTTTTGGAGGAATGCATGGCTCTAGATATATCCTCATACATTTCCTCCACCTCCTGATCGGGGTGTGCCGAGGTTGGTGCGTAAACTTGTATGACCTTCAGCGAATACCGTTTGGTGATTCTGAGTATAAGGTACGCAACCCTCGTCGACACACTCTCAATCTTTACAACGTTGTTAACGAGAGACTTGTGGACTATAAATCCGACACCTCCTTGGGACAGATGGTCGCCCTCCCGGTAATAGAGCAAGTTGCCGGATTCGAGGATTACCGTGTCCTCCCCCTCTCTTCGGACTTCGGATAATCCTATAATATGCCAGCGTAACTTGTCTATCTCTTCTTCCAGCTCCACGATCTTCTCGTCAGTCCTCAGGGTGCGTGCGTTGTATGTTGCCAGGTCGAGTCGTCTTAGGTGGCAACCGAACCTCCACCGGAGATTCTTAGCACCCCCTGCCCCGCCGTTACCATGGTCGCCACCGTAGCCAGGAATAGCGGGGCCGCCGGGGACTAGGGGCCGTTTATTATTGTCATTGCTCACGGGGGGTATATTGCCATAGTTGCCACGCTTGGCGAGCGGGTTGGCAACCGCAGTTTTTTTATTGTTATTTTGGCTATTATCAGGAAGATGCTGCTGCCCATCTCCTGCCTGTTTCCCTTTGTTGCCTTTTACGACACCCACGGGAAGATATGGGGTAGTGGATATTCTTAACCGCCACTACACGGCATATGGCATATGGCATATGGTCTAACACAACTGGTTACTTCGCCTACGCGGATCCCAGATGTGGAAGACCATGTACCTTCCCTGTTGGACCTTCTGCTGACCTCTCATCCGGACGGATATCAGGTCTCCGTCGATGCCCCTCTGGGCTCTTCGGACCATTGTCTGATCCGGAGCACGGTGCCACTCACGCTCCAATCGCAGTTGCGATCTGCAGCTTGCCGCCGTGTTTGGCACTATAGGTCAACTGATTGGGACGGGATGCGGTCTTTTTTTGCATCCTACCCTTGGGGTCGGGTTTGCTTCTCGCCGGAAGATCCCAGCGTTGTTGCCGATTTTGTTGCTGATGTGGTACTTCATGGTATGGAACTTTTTATTCCATCCTCTGTGGTGCCCATCGGAGGCAGATCCCAGCCATGGTTTGGTCGCTCCTGTAAAATAGCATCACGCTATAAGCAGGAGTGCTACCGGGCCTGGGCTGATGCATCAACGTCTCGGGATTTAAACACCAGCGCACTTAAAAAGAAGTATAATTCCGCCTCCAGGTCCTTCAAAAGCGTCATTGCCAAGGCAAGGTCTGAGCACATCGGCAGAATTGGCGAGAAGCTAGTTCGCCTTCCTTCGGGAACCCGTGCATTCTGGTCTCTCGCCAAGGCTGTCCAAGGGAACTTCTGTCAGCCATCCCTTCCATCTCTGCACAGAGAGGACGACTCACTGGCCCATGCCGCAAAAGAGAAAGCCGATCTGTTGTGCTCTCTTTTTGCGTCTAACTCGACTCTAGATGACGGGGGGAACACACCGCCGACCATCCCGCGATGTGAGTGCTCCATGCCGGATGTGCGATTTACACAGCGCTCGGTTCGCAAAGCACTCTTCTCCCTGGACGTCAGCAAGTCGAGTGGGCCCGATGGAGTCCCTCCCATTGTGCTGAAGACGTGTGCTCCGGAGTTGGCACCGCTCCTAACGCGTCTTTACCGGTACTCCTACTCCCAAGGCGTAGTCCCGAATTCATGGAAGACAGCTTTGGTCCACCCGATCCCTAAAAAAGGCGACCGCTCAGACCCGTCCAACTACAGGCCTATCGCTATCACCTCCTTGTTCTCCAAAATAATGGAATCCATTATAAACTGCCAGCTCATGAGGTACCTTGAAGATCACCAGCTGATCAGTGACCATCAGTACGGTTTTCGTCGGGGTCGATCAACGGGTGATCTTCTAGTTTACGTAACTCATAGATGGGCGGAGGCAGTAGAGTCCAAGGGGGAGGCATTGGCCGCTAGTTTGGACATAGCGAAGGCCTTCGATCGGGTCTGGCACAAAGCGCTTCTTTCGAAGCTTCCTTCCTATGGGCTTCCCGAGAAATTGTGCAAATGGATCACCAGTTTCCTTGCTGATCGGAGCATCAAGGTCGTAGTAGACGGTGCATGCTCTGATTACAAGCCTATCAACGCTGGTGTTCCACAAGGCTGCGTGCTATCACCAACGCTGTTTCTCCTGCATATCAATGATATGTTGCTAACTGGTAGCATTCATTGCTATGCAGACGACAGCACTGGGGATGCCTTATATACCGGCCGTGCCAATATTTCTCGGGAAAACGTCGCCGAGTACCGGGACAAACTTGTGTCTGAAGTCGAGTCTTTGCTTAACAAAGTCTCGGATTGGGGCCGACTAAATCTAGTCCAGTTCAATCCCCAGAAGACACAAGTTTGCGCGTTTACCGCTAAAAAGAACCCCTATGTCGTATCTTCTCAGTTTCAAGGCACTCCCCTTGCTGCCTCAGCCAGTATCGGAATCCTTGGCGTCGACATATCGAATAGCGTGCAGTTTCGTGGTCACTTGGAAGGGAAGGCCAAATTGGCCTCTAAAAAGCTTGGCGTGCTCAGCAGAGCGAGACAGTATTTCATGCCGGCACATCGCTTGCAACTTTACAAAGCGCAAGTTCGGCCCCACATGGAATACTGTTCTCATCTCTGGGCCGGGGCACCCCAGTGCCAGCTCCTTCCACTTGACCGCATCCAGCGCAGAGCGATTCGAATCGTCGACGACCGAGTTCTTTCCGATCAGCTCGATACACTGGCACTGCGTAGAGATGTTGCATCTCTTTGCGTATTTTATCGCATCTATCACGGGGAGTGCTCTGAGGAATTGTTCGGACTAATTCCAGCCGCTCAATTTCACCATCGCACGTCGCGACAAAACTCGCGTTACCATCCGTACCATCTGGATGATTGGCGGTCCACCACTGTGCGATTTAGAAGAAGTTTTCTCCCTCGCACAACTTCTTTGTGGAATCAATTACCACCAGCGAATTTTCCGAACCGATACGACTTAGGAACCTTCAAGAAAAGAGCTTACACCTTTCTAAAAGGCCGGCAACGCATCTGCAATTCCCCTGGTGTTGCGGTTGTTCATGGGCGGCGGTAGTCACTTACCATCAGGTGAGCCGCAAGCTCGTTTGCCCCCTATTCTATAAAAAAAAAATCGAAAGTTAAGTAAATTTTTCGCAAATTAAAGTATCTCATTAACAGTCATCCATATGTTATTTATTCGCCCGATCAATAATTCTCCAATAAATAATAGGCTGCAGTATCAATTTATCATTAGCTCTTTTGTCACATCATTTCTACCATTAATATGTATTTATTAAGGTTCATAATGAAACTGTTAAACGACGTTTATATACTTACGGTTGATAGCATACCAGTTCCGAAACCCCATAGGAATTTTGTTATGCAAATCATCCAACCCTTTGTTGCCAATATCACGAACAACTGTATGAAATATACAACGATATTTACTATTGTTTAAGTGTACATAAAACACAAACCCTGACTAAAAAAATATTCTTACCAGCTTTACTGGGTGAAAATAACTAAATCTTTCACTAAACCACTAATATATACCAAAGCTTTTAGAAACCTGTGCCATCGCGGAAAATGGAATAAATAATAATAAATACTGGAATATCCCCAAAAGATCAAGAACAATAGCCAATATTAACCGACTTTAAAAATGGAATAGGTAATCTGTATGTTTGAAGTTATTAACGATATCTCCGATATTAGATCTTATATTAAGCGGATTATTATGTAAGTACCAGTAAAGTTACTTCCAGAGTCATCATCATCATAATCATTATCATTACAGCCTTTCAAAGTTCCACTGATGAACGTGGGGGAGCTCATAGATTATCTCATAGAGGGGAATATTTTCCATTGTTTCCACGCTTGGCAGGAGGGTTGGCTTTCGCAGATTTTTATTATTTTGAGCCATCAAGAAGATGCTGCTGCCCATCTCCTGTTTCATTTCACTCGGTCGACTCTTACGACAACCACGGAACGATATGGGGCAGTTGATTCCCTTGCGCCGACACTACACTACACGGCGTACCTACGATACCTATCACTTCCAAAGTGGATCCATATAAATTTCAATAACTAACGATGGTAACTGATATTGATATTTTTAATAGTAATGTTTTATAAGAAATACCTTTGTGACCTCTGGGTACAAAGATAGAAAATTACAAAGACATAATGACCAAGAATTACCGAATAATGATATGTCATTTATTGTCATTATACCAAACAAGTAGCAGAATGCCGATAAAAAACAAATACAAATAACATATGAAATGAACAAATTATAATTATATTTTTCTTCAATATTATAAATAGTAAAATAAAACATAAACCCACCGTTCCAAGTGCAATTGGTCCGGCGCTTACTAGCACGGTAACGCGACGTCCAAATTGATCAGAAACGTAACGGGTAAGCAAACTGCCAGAGAGGAATCCCAGGGGAGACACTGCAACCATCCAAGAAGCGACTTCCTAAAATTTTCAATAATGCACGTAAGTCATAACTTTCATAATCCGGAAAAAAGAACAGCCGACTTATATTGTGTAGACTTCCTATAAATTGAGGATATTTTTTTTTATTAATTAACTTCAAATTAAAAAAGGAAACAGAGGCTTTGTGATCTTTGAGGACTACAAATAAGGAAGAATGTCTCACAGTCCCTGCTATCTCTCTATATATTTTTTAAACCGGATCAGTGCAACGGGTTCACACAAGAGAGGTACCGTGAAGGGTTCTCAAACAAATACAGAGCCCTGATATTTGAGATTATTATAAAAACGCTTCAGTAGATGAGCTCAAATAAGATTTTTTTTTGGTATTGTATACCATTAATACGTGTACGCAGAAATATACAGACAGTTAGTCTTAGAGTCCAATGTTACGTTTATAAGTCAAAACCTTCTTTACCTATGGTTTGACATATTATAACACATATATCACATATACTTATATAACACATATAAAGACCAAATTATTAAGATTGTGCTGTAATTGTACACTTGGTGTTGTCTAATAAAACCTAACTGACAATTAATAAAGTCAAAGATTCCGCTGGACAGAAAGGAAATCCTCACATAAGATTGCAATTACCAATTTCATTAGTGTAATCAGGGGATCGAATTCTATTTTCTTGCATAAAATTTTTAAGCGTGCACTTAATCCTAAGCTACCACAGCTACTAAAATGACGTAAAAGAATACATCTTACATTAATTTTAAATAAAAAAAAATGTCTTACGTCTGTCACTCGGATGTTAGTTCCATTTTTGTGAAATAGCGGTATCACAATTGTAGGCCATGCGGATGATACACCCATAGTCAGGGTTGCTAGTGACACTGAAATCGTAAAGAAAACTGTTAAGGACATAATCAACCTGAATGTAATAATATTAAAACAACCTGAATTCGATCCGGTATTACTAGAATTCTTAATTCTAAATGCTGGTATACCACTCGTTTGACAGTAAATAAACAATAAACCTGCATGTCTCACTCAAAACATGTATAGCAGCGAAGTAGACTATTCCTTCCCTGTTACCCACTAAGAACCGTTGTTATATCCAAGTTTACTTTGATATTTTTAATTTTTATTTATAATAAAAAGAACGTCACATGGCCCAACGAAATTTTGGAATTTTCTACCGACTTCAAACAGGAGGAGGTACTCAATTCTACTGTATGTTTTTTATGTGTTAACTCATAACTTCTTTCTGGGTGAACCGATTTCGATGATTATTTTTTTATTTGAAAGCTGGCGCTTCACATGTGGTCCCATATAAATTTGATCAAGGTCTGACCAATAGTTTTTGAGTTATTCTTGATAATTTATATTGAAGTCGGTTGTACAAATTTTTTAATTTTTAATTATTAGATTCCAAGAACTAAGCCTTAAAATGTTCGCGTATTGGATATTGTCCGTACACACTTTCTTTGGACATTGAAAAGTAAAGAAATCCCTACCAGTGAAGATTAGTTTAGGCTTTTGAAGAATTCACGTCACTAACAAGAATGGCATCTATCAGCGTGTTAAAAGTGTTTAAGATTTGTATGATAACTACTACTTACATAAAAACTTTGATATAACATATTATCTTTATATATAGAAATTACGTGTCACATTGTTTGTCCGCGATGAACTCCTAAACTATTGAACTGATTTCAATGAAATTTTGCAATTTTCCAACTTGAGAGATAGGATACTTTTAATCCCGATAAATGACCTTCAATATTTTTTTATTGCGAATTTAAGGATTTTTTCATAGGAAGGGTCGTCGAAAAGGGCAGAACAACGTCTGCCTGGCCAGCTAGTATTATATAAAATTTATATGTGAGATATATAGTATGTATACCGCATGTAAATGGATACTGCAAGAAGAAAAGTTGACTGTAATTTGTGGTACGCAGTATAGAGATAATTTGCGGTATCAGTACTATACTAGCTCCCATTTTAGCCCATACATTATAAACAGTTATATAGAGAATGAAAGAGATAAACATACCCAAGTAACACACGAGCTTGATAACAGTACAAATTTAAATAAACTCTATGCAGTTAACGACCGATCTGACAACATTAAATATAACGCACGCACCCTGAGTACTGACGAGAAGCTGCAGCTGGAAGTACAAAAAGACAAATTGCGCTGGCATACTATAGGATTATCTGAGGTCCGTCGAATTTGGCGACTTGTTCTATCACCGGGAGTCCGAAGGAGGTGTCGGATTTATCGATCACAAGTGTCTCATTAACAACCTTGTAAAGATGTCGAGAGTGTGTCGACGAAGGTTGCGTATTTTATACTTAGAATTACCAAACGGTATTCGTTGAAAGTTATACAGGTTTATCACCAATCTTCGCACATCGCGATGAAAAATATATGAGCATATGTCCAGAGCTATGCATTCTTCAAAAACCCCCTAAACTTCGAGTAAGAGTACGACACAAAAGAGAACGTTGAGCTAAGCTGAAAATAGGTAAATACGAAATAGAGCACGGAACCCAAGAGGTCAACAACTGAACCACTTCAAGGTTCTCCTTGAAAGAGTTTATTATAAAAACTCCCCCGTTTGTAGAGAGAGAATGAATTCTTAACAATAAACTCTTTCTTCCAGAAACGATCACTAATGGTAAGAGGCAAACTGAAATTAATGTTAAGTTGGAGTGGTCACATGTAATGAAGTCAAACCTCGTTCACTAATCAAAATCTCCAAAAATTTCAGCTCGAATTTCCAAACCATTTTCAGTGCCTAAAAGAAGACGGAAAATTAAGCCGCAGTTCTCACCAGATATGACAGCATACCGGCAACTGGTAGGTTTTACACGTGATAGAGCCACGCTGCAGCTTTGTTATGGTTGTAGACGAATGGGTCAGCTCAAAGGGTAAAGGAATCACGGAATACGTAAATGTAGAAAAACGGAGACCCTTTTTACAAGAAACGAGGCATATATACATCTTAGACCGCAGGGGTGACATCGCACCTGCATTTTATTCTTAATCAAAGACAGATGAAGATGTCTATTGGCCACAGCATCTACTTACGGTTAATGGAATGTGTGATCGTTTGTCAAAATCATACTATATATTAATATATAATTCGATGCATACACATACATATTGAAGTATTGAAGAAGCGATTGAGCTAAATCAAGGCTTCAAAGTTTTTGCCAGAGATCTGTCTGCGGGAAAGAGCCAACTGTCGAAGTTGAATAGTATCGTTTCCGGGACATTTCAGATTTTTAGTGAAATAGAGAGAATCTACAGACAGCTGGATACGTCGTCGTTGAAACCGCTCGTAAATGTGAATGATAATCCAAGAGCAAGTCGCAGCCGACATTACTCCTATGATATCCCGGACATCAATTTGTGCGAGATTAAAATGGCTCTCCAGCAAAAAAATCAATCTAATCTATCTATCTAATTTAATCTTATTCAATTTAACTTAGTTTAACATAAAAACTACTTAATAATTAATATTAATTACTTGAATAATATTAATCCACAATTTAATTCAAGTATTATTGTTCCGCGAATTGCTGTTACACTATTTAAGTCATTATTTACGTACATTACTTGCATACATCTCAACTCAGAGTATAAAGTGCTTCCCTATCAATCTATCATAATAAGTTGTACTTACCTGAAAACGCTACTAAAAACTGCGCTCTCTTGCCTTGTTCCATTATTTATCTAACAACAAAAAAACATTAGGTAACTATTACAACTGAAATTAGAACATACATTAAAAAAGGAAACTAGAAGAAGTATGTATTAAAAGGCAGTATTTTTATTACGAATAAAGAATCGAATTCGTTATGCTAATGTGAAGAATTCTCCTGCCAGACCTTCATGGTCCACTGGTAATATCGATGTTTCGTTATGTAAAAAGGATCTGCTATAATCACCACGCTTAACAACTTAACGTACATATTGGCGATCACACTAGATCGGCAGCAGGGAGCAGTGTCAAAGGTGCGAGACGTCTGTTCTTGTAATCAAAGAACGGGAGAGGCCCATATCCTGTAGTGGACTTTTATGAGACGATGAAGATACAAATACTACAATTGCACTGCTTAAAGTAAAAATCTATCATCTTTATAAAGAAGCAATTAGAAAAGGATCAAAGAAGAAGATTGTATCATCATCATTACAGCCCTTCACAAGTCTACTGCTGAACATAGGCCCTCAACGAATGCCACTAAAAACGATCCTGAGCTACCTGCATGTCTTCACTTCCTGCATGTCTTACCAGGTCACGTGAGTAAATAAACGGAACAGAGACCAAGCTTCTTAAGAACGTGCAAAATTGTTACCTATTTAACTAACTTTTACTTACGTTTTACATTTACTTAAGAAAATATTATATTATACTTATATAAAAATGGATTATGAACTGTGTGCAATAAACAATAATTGTTGTTACTGGTATATAATAACACACAATAACTTTGCAACAAAATTGCATCGGATTACCTCATGTGTGCCCGGTCATGCACATGGCCAATTATTGTTCTGATAATATTCTAGAACAATCTAGAAACGAACACATTAACATACATACACTAATACACGTAGAGCCTTTCCTCCACTTATATTTTCATCGCGAAACAACCGAATTTAAAAAAAATCACTAAAGCGTATAAAACTGTAAACAATACGTATGGTAGGTATATGGTATACTATGCAGCTACCACTCGAGAAACGTAAATCGTACTGAATGGTTAGCTTACAAGTTTACAGTTTGCAACTTGTGCATGTTTAGTCGTAAAGATAAACACCACCGTTACACATATTATACACAATGAAATATGCGCTCCTTTTAAATTACGATGCGTCCCTGATTTCCTTGAATTATTTTAGATAACAAGTAACAGGAATTCCTTAAGATAAGTTAAAATATTTCACATGCACTGGCTTGAGAGAATGCCTGCCCTTTATCCCATGAAAACTAGGACGCGCGGATTTAATTAAAAAGGAAAATATCATAATTTAAATATTTTCCAAATATGTTGAGTGTTTGTACTAAACTATACACTATACATATAAATAAAATTGAAGTGTCTGTCTGTAATATCAAAAAACTGCATTTTATTGAGCTACTGTGTTACTGTGTTAAAGTTATGCTAACAAACGATAGCATTAACACATGAATAACCTTTTGTAAAATCTTTATGTGTCTGTCTGTCTGTCCGGGCTAAACATCGGAACAGCAGAACCGATTGTAATGAAACTTCACGAACAGATAGATAGCAATGCCAGTGAAGTGATGTAAGCTGTACATATTTTATCCGAAAAACTTGGAGATTTTTTTGTGATATGGAAAAATTGATAAAATATAAATTAATAACCCATATATAATTCTATATTAATAACCATTTACATGTATAAGAAAATTTTAGTGACGCCACATTAACGCTCTTCGCACACGAGTCGTAAGCGTAGTCGTATTGTAAACGTATCGTTACGACGCAACGCGTACGAGAGCTGCAGTGTTCTACAAACGAATCGTCGAGTAGACGTATCGTTTTGTAAGATCTCAGTTGAAATCATGGCGTCAACGGTACCTGATGAGTTGGGTGAATTTATAAACTATCTTACTTTCTCTTCAGACGAAGAGGATTTTTTATTGTTTTATTACGTATGAAGTAGAAAGCGACGTGCTCACAGGATCCATCCATACATTAGAAATAATCACAAGAAAAGATTGTTTGTTGCTGCACGTGAACTTTCCGCAGATGATAATAAATTCCGCAGTTTTTATCGAATGAGAAAGGCGACATTTATAATACTTGTAAATATTTTAAGACCACACCTTTTAAAAAATGATACAAACATGCGAGAGGCTGTACCTCCAAAGAAAGAACAATGATAACCTTACGTTAAGTAAAAACTATTTCTTTGTTTATTTTTAATCATTTATTTATTAAAATTAAAAACTCACAGATATATTAATCTAAATATCACACATGTTCTGTAATCAGAGTAGTCACAATGTTTTAATGACACATCACAAATTAATCACAAATGTTTTAATCACAGTATGAAATAAAATTATTAATCAAATATTATTGCAAAATAAAAGCCTACAACGGTTCCATTTCACGACGACGAAGGCTTGACTTTGGTTATTGTGTACATATCAACTCTAGGTTTGAGAAGCTTTAAAAATTATGTTCATTCCGATTGTACTGAGTCAATTCGCCCAGATTGGTAGACTTTCATCACTGCTAGTGCTATAATCAAGAGGTGATCTCAGTAATTGCTCACCCTGCTGATCAGGACTCATAGCTGAAGACTGAAGAGTATAGTTGTTGACATGACTGCTGGTAAATTTGTGAGTTACTTCGAGCTGGAACTTGAACATACATATGTGGCAGTTGCAGGTGATTGAAGCATCAACAAGTTCTTCGTTTGTTGATGTACCTTGAGTTTCTACTTCGTTTGTTGATATACTCTGATTATCCACTTCGCTAAGGTTGTTGGCAGTTGATTGAGAACTATGGCATGTGGGAATATTTCCAAGCTTTCTCATTGTTGGTTGGTTTAACAAATGGAATCACAAATTGCATCTAATCGTGTAAGTAATACTGCTTCCTTGATTTCGCTACTGAGCCAGTAGGCAGCGCTTACAGACTCTTAACGAAGCCGTTTCTCACATTGAAGAAGAACATTCTGGAACTAAGAAAAAGGATAATTTGAATAGTAGGCTAGGTGGGGTAAGAGGAACATAGAAGAAACAGAAACTAGTGCTTTGTATTTTGAAAACTATATACACCGCATTAATAGTTCATTTTTAGGGTTCCGTACACAAAGCGTAAAAACAGGACCCTATTACTAAGACTCTACTCTCCGTCTGTCTTTTTGTCTGTCTGTCACCAGGTTGTATCTCATGAACCGTGATAGCTAGACAGTTGAAATTTTCACAGATAATCTATTACTGTTGCCGCTATAACAACAAAGACATAAAATGGAGCTGTCAGCTGCTCCAACCACTCAAATGTACCGTTAATACATTTTACCGGTATTATTATATAGTATAACAAATTATAAACAAAAATATTTTAACATTGTTTCAGGTATCTGGCAGCTGTTGACACTTTTTATCTTTGGGTTTATACTTCGCTCGAGGCGATACCACAGTTTTACAAATCGTAGCTGAAACTACGTAAACTACTACATAAGTGAGCAATTCTTGAATACGTATATGTGTATAAAATGCCTATATTGTATGTATAGGTTCCTCGGAAAGGGCTCTAACGATTTCGATGAAATTTTGTTTTTAGATAATGTTTTACTTTCCAAGTTCATCTAGAATCTAGATATGTGTCAATCATAAGTAAATTCTATACATCGTAAAAATCTCGGTCCCCCAGGTATTTCTTTTATACGCAACAGAGGAGACGCCCATTCATAGTGAAGGAAAGGCGTAAACGGAACGCTCGTACTTACAAGGCCTACATGTGTGTATTCGTTTGCTTCTTATTAAGGCTATCCATCTTGAGGCAGTAACCGAGCTATCGATTTCTGCCTTTCTTGCGGCGTTAGGTCGCTTCGTATCACGTCGTGGCCTTTGTACCTTCATAGTAACCGACTACGTTGTCGTCTGTGTGTATGCTCACAGCACACACAGCAGGTGTCGGACCTCGGAGCAAACCCCATTGCCCGGAATTTCCTGGCGGTACATTACTATATACCGGTCGTGGAAGCCGTCATGGCATTGTAAGTAACGCAGCGGTCCGGGGTTCGGTTCCCCGGTCGCTGCAAATTGGTATCAATAAAGAGTCCAAGTTGGTCTATCTGCAAATTTGTGTGTTCTCTTGGTCGCCCGTCCAAGGTAATTTAGGTGGTCATGTGGCCCGTTGTCAGCACGGTCGAACATAGCGCGCGCCAGCCGGGCTACGAATTCCTTAATGCTCTCCATCTTCAAGTTGGCCGCGATGACGTCATTCCGGACATAGCGACCTGCACCGTCGATGGTCCGTAGTGATAGGTTCTGCTAGGCCTGCAGCCGCTGCCTCTACCGTTCGCTCAGGAGTGCGTACCAGGCCGGAGCAGCATAGGTGATCTTCGGTCTTATGTAGAGCTTGTATATTTTCAATTTGGTTTTTGTTGAGAGCTTGGACGCCAGGACGGGACAGAGCATCGCCCGCGCACGTCTGGCATTGCGACGATGTCGACGTGCAGGGTCAGGCGCAGCATCCTGTCTATCGGGCTTTCAAGGTAAGTCACGGCCTTCTCGTACGCTATCTCTTGGCCTCTTAACGTCAACGGGGGCGGGAAGTTCCTGTAGCGGCGGGTGAGGAGGGCGGTTGTCTCCCCATCATTGACGGCCATCCTCCACTCATTCAGCCACGGTAGCAGCAGGCGCAGCATCTTGGCAGCGGCGATATGGCCTCTTCTGGACGATGTAAAGTAGGCGCTATCGTCCGCATATAGACCGCCAGCTCTACGTCGTCCTCCCATTCGTAGGTTAGTAGGTAGGTTTCCCGCCAGAGTAGGGATTGTTATTGGCCCGGCGGCGGCGTTACATTAACGAAATACAACAAAATGTTTGCAAGAATAATGATTTGCTTGAGTCTAATCCACGCCCTCACAGAATACTCATTTATTTAACATTAAATATTTTTTTTTACATTTATTATCATTTTATGTTGTAGGTGCATGTATTAAAACTAGTTCTATA